TGAATTCACCAATGACGAAGCGGATCAAGCGGATCAAGTGTGGCGTGTGCCTTACGTATAGTACCTGGACACTATAGTTGTGATGTGTATGATTTTTATGCTCCTATGGGTTCAAAGACCGCGGTCAATCCATCGTCACGATTTTATAAAGAACCTATACTCAATGTCCTATGATATCATTGCAGATCCAAGGTCTCGTGGCGCATTTGCTTCCACCCACTGGTAAGGATCGAGACCATCAGGTGAGCTTTGTTTCTGCTATTTTCGCATGTGTAGTAGAGTGGTAGCTGCACTATGAGACTGTCTTTGCAAAATTTCTTTTTCTAAGGATGAACATCATTCCAACCATGACCGTCTCATCTCCCTCGTAGCCAAGGGGGTGTTCTACGAAGGTTGTGTGGACTACTGCCAAGCGCAGGCCATTGGTGACTTGAAAGGTGAACAGTCGTTTGTCCCCTCAGGTTTCTTTCATTGCATTGGTTAGGTATCGAAAGCGGTCCACATCCTACCGACATTTTGGCAAATCGGCCGCGACTGTCGTCAACCGATCTGTCATTGATATCATGGCTCGAAATGGTGGGCAGAGAACAGTTCGCCATGCCCTTCCAGCAGAAACAGCTCGATCTGAAAGTGGAACATCTCAAGTGAGTAGTTCAGAGTTTGCCATACCCACATGTAATCGGGCATCTGTTGTTCTGTGCCTTTCTGCACCTGCGGTTTCACGCATTTATCGACCGGATCCGATCCCGATCCAATTCGGATCCGCGGGCAACTATGAGGCGACAGGGAATGCTCTAAATTCAATCTTTCTATCGCTTGGATGTGAAATATTATCCGACTCCTCCATCCAATGGTATGGCGTACACAAGACATCTCAGGATTATTGGGGTATTGTAGGGTACAGTAGGACTTGTAATATTTTGTAGGTAACTACGAGCTGCCATTTTGGAAGCGTGAAGAGTTTTTGTGGTTGAGTGGTCAATTGGACTTTTATGCGTCATACTGCCCAATCTTTGCGGTTTCTAAAGTTATAGAGCATGAATAGTAAACGAATTGAGCGGGTTGGCCAGCCTTTCACGACTGTATCTGATATGATCTGAGAAAAGGAGTCAGTCATCATCAAACAATCAGTACATTTTCTAAGGAATTCTATCTCCAGGATTTTGAGCAGCTTTTTATATTTTTTTAGCAGTGATGCAAGTGTTGCAATCAGCACCATGCACCTTGGCTTACAATGACTACAAGCGCCCTACTCAAGTATTTTCAGACGGTTTGCCTATTCCAGAAAGCCGAAACTGGAAGCGCAGTGGACAGAAACGATTCTGGCCACGCCGATGAAACCTGGTGGTCACTTTCCTCATTCGATGGTCCCAAATGCTAAGCTCAAATTCGCAGAGAAGATGAGCCAGTCGATGGCGGTGATTCCCTTGACCACGAGTATGAGTACCAGTAAGTTCTTTTGGTTGGACTATGACTGTGGCCTTCCTCTGATCGCGACATTCTAGGTGCATTTCCTTCCGCGGGTCGGTTGCATCCGATGTCACAGTCAACAGCAGCCGGGTTTTGCTTAGGAATTGGTGATGCTGGCAGCGAGGCAATGGCGCAAAGTCAGATGATCGACAATCTGATCGAGTGTAGCGAACTGACCAAGAGCAGCCGCCCGGACTCGCTGTTCAGAAGTACGGTGGCACCAAACATGATGACAAAGTCAGTGAGCATCCACACATTGTTCCTCCAATTCAACACCGATTTCAGCTCAATAGCGCCTCAGGTAATGGGACCAGCAATGGTAAACAGCTACATGAATGGGATGTATGATTTCACGCCCGTTCGACGACAACTGGACGAAATGGCGCGACGGTAAGAAAACTGCTTGTTTCAAAGATTTGAAATTTGAAACTTTACTATACTGCATTTATCGAGAATTCTTTTCTTTGCGACCGAGTGACTGATCTCATGCTTATAG